TGCTCCATGTCAACTGTCATATGACATCACTCAATAAGGTAAGGACCCTGCCTATGATCTACATGGAGACTCTAGAACTTAATTTACAAAATATAATAAATAAGTTTAGATTTTACAACAAAAAAGGAATAATTGCAATAGCACTTCAACTTTCAAATGGTAATAAACCCCACAATGTTCAACTGAAGGTGCAGGGCTAACAATATATTATTTGAGATTAAAAATATTTCTTTTTCAATGAATAACACCTCAATCAATATGAATTTAGGTGCTTCAACCTTTATATTGACTATGGTTAGGGTCCTAACCTTTATACTATGTTGTATGTCTACGGTTGAAGAGTAGAGCTTTGTATTGCTAATTTGATATTGTAAATTGTTGTTGTAAAAATTTTGGGAGGCCTATTTTTATGAGAGGCTCTATCAAATTTCTATAGAAAGTTTTTTATTTTTGTTTTATATAAAAAGCATTATAAAAATTTCTAATCGTGCTATTAATGTGTTCAAAGTATTAAATTAAAAGTTTTTTAGATCAAGGCTTATGGAATGTACATTTCGTGCACAGATTCTGTGTCGGTCACACTTAATTTTTGTGGTGTGACAGGCCAACTCTTTCCTTGAAACTTTGTAGCCTTAGTATAATAATCAAGGTTAATGAGAGAAATCTAGAGATTCAGAGAAAATATAAGAAAGAAAGATGAAGATTCTTTGAGACTGTGGCATTGGTTTGATCTTGGCTATAGCAATTTCTTTGAGGGAAGTCGGCATTTTAGTATTTTTGTATTTTAAATATTAATATTAAATAAAAATAATCTCCCAATTCTATGAACAAACATATTTTTAAACATCAAATCTATATTCTATCTTCACTTTCACTTTTATGTTTATTTTATTTTCATTAAAACCATTTCTATCGTACCAAACAATGCATGAGTTATGTGGGTTTGGGTGTGCTGTGAGTATTGGGTCACAGTCCTTTTATTTTTATTTTTTAAAATATAATACTTTTCTCTCTTCTTTTTTTCTTTTCTTTTTTCTTTCTTTCTTTCTTCTTCTTCTCTATTTTTTTCATGGCTTTCCTAAACTTTAAAATATTAATTTAAGTTTATATATTTTGCTTAAATAAATTTTCATAACAATCTTTTTTTAACATTTATAATATGCTAAGTTGGCAAAATGCCTTAAATAATTTTATTTTTTATTGGAATAATCACATGGTCATATCCATTTATCATGACATAATTTATTTCTAACATTACTTAAATCCTAATAGTAAATTAAAATTGGAATATAACTAACATTAACAATGTTAATTTATCTTATGCATAACTAACATTATTTCACAAAACGTCAGATGAAGATTAGGTTTTATTTTATTTATTATAAAAATATAAAAGTATTATTTAATCTAAAATATAAAGTATTAGATAATTTTTATAAGAGTTAAGGTTTAATTTTGTCCCTGTATTTATTTATGAGTGCTGAGCACCCTATACTTTTAAGTGAGATAATTTTATCCCTAAACTTATTTTTAATGCAAAAAACCCCTCATGCTGGTCAATTGTTAACATGTTGGTCAATTGTTAAGTTTTTCATTTTCTATTGACACGACACATGCATGGGGCCCACGCATAGTGATATATAAGACTTTGACTATATTTTTTAGTATTATTTTATCCTTGAACTCTTTTTTTAAGACTTAAGCATCCTAAAGTCTTTTTTTAGGAGCGTTGAACACCTTAAAATATTTTTAAAATAATATTTAATAAATATTATTAAAATATTAAGTATTTTAATATTTCTTATATTTTGAAATTTTGTATTAAAAATAAAAGGAATGAACTTTCAAATTAATGAAGGACTTTTTTCTTCCCATCTCTCCATTTTTCTTTTATTAAGTAACTTTTTTGTAGTATATTAATAGAATAATCGATATCTTTTAAATTAGCAATTTTGTTCGCATATTGTTAATCCTGATTTGTCATTTTTTTTATTTTACTCCTAGCACTGTAACATATCAAAAGTATTAAATTTGGGTAGTGTAATATGTTGAAGAAAGATTGTTAGTTGATTAAAAAAATTACAAAAAATGATCTAAAAATTTAAGAAACTTAACCAATATTAAAAATATAAATTAGTTTTGACATACACAAAAGGCATAATGATTTAGGCACTGTCTTAAAAACATTGAAGATTGATATTAAAAAAATAAGAAGTCATCTATAAATTTATAAAATGCTAGTTTAAATTGTTAATATTTAAAAAATAATTTATAAATTTTGAATAAATATTTATAAAAAATAATATTTAAATTTTATATTTAATATTTTGACAATATTTATTAAATTTTATTTTAATAAAATTTTAAGATATTCAATGCTCCTAAAAAAGACTTTAGGATTACCAGTACTCCTAAAAAAAGAGTTTATGAGCAAATTAGCATCGAAAGATATGGTCAAAGTCTTACCTATCACTATGTGTGAGCCCTATGCACATCCACATTAGCAGAAAATAAAAAACTTAACAGCCTCCTAATAGAATGGTGTTTTTGAACCTTGAAAAAATACTTCAGAGGAAACATTACCCTACTTAAAGATATAGGATGCCCAACGCTCCTAAAAAATAAGTATAGGAATAAAATTGAACCTTAACCTTTTTTATAATTATCTTTCAATTATGTATCAAATTTATTTATTATTTTTCAAAAAAACAATACATTAAAATTTCAATTATTATTAATAAGACCCTACATAAAAATATTAAATGAATATATAATTAAAAAGATATATAAAATTTGTTAAGAGATAAATTTTTAACTATTTTTTTTAGGAGGAACATAGTCTTATAATAATACTTAATCTACTTATATTGTAAAATGCATTAATATTTCTGTAGAACAATAGTTCTTTGAACAATAAATGGCAAGACCCAACTTTTTTTTTTTTAACTTTTTCTACTTGTAAAGTGACAGAGCCCAGCCTCTTAAATTTTGTACATGTGAAGCGGTGGGCCCATTTTTTTTTTTTCAAAAAAATCTACCATCCAACCTCTTCTCTTTTTTTTTTTTTCCGACCATCTTTTATTTTTATAGTAATTTTTAATTATTATATGAAAAATAAAAAATAAAATATTATAAATATTTTATAATAAGAAAAGGTAGATATGAGACTCACATGAAAAATGAGTGGTAAATATGAAATAAATACTAAAAAATATTCTTTCCAAATTAGAATATATGATATCTTCTAAAAGTCTTAATTGAAAATGTAGGGCATTGCTAGTTTTTATAATTATTTTTTAACTATATCCCTACTTCATTTATTACACTTTTTGAAAAAAATTATACACTAAAATTTTAATGATCACTATTAAGGCACTTATCTAGATTATTTAATAAGTATAAGATTGAAAATATGTAAAAAAAAATTTAAAAGATTAAGGTTTCAACTAAATTTTCTTAGAATCATAAAATAATTAGCAGTGCCATGTATTATGGTTCAAAGAGAGTAATTTATAAGATATTTTTTTCACAAAATTATGCATATTAATAAATTTCATTAAATATATTTTACAATCTTATTATTTAAAAAAACATATAAATTTTAAAAAATAACTTTAATTTAATATAAATTTACTTGTGAAACATAAATAGAGAATGAAATATAATAAATAAGGAAGGGTAATATTGAAAAATTATAATTGATAAAATCTTAAAACAATTTATATTTTAGGATACTAAGTTATCTCCAAACATGTCTTACAAATTAGGATGGAGGGAAAATATGTATCACAATTTAATTTTTCTTTTTTATTTTTATACAAAAAAGAAATACTTCATGAAAATTAATAGATCTCAATTTCAAAAAAAAATTAAAAAAATGAATGGTGAATATGAAACTTATACATAATAATATTTTGATGCATTGCATGCACAATATAGATCATTTATTCCTTTGAATTTTGTTACCGTTTACGATCAATTTAGAAAATTGTAAAATTTTTTTAAATTGTACAATTAATAAAAAAAAGTTTTATGATCTATATTTTTTTACATAATGAAATAAAAAATTGTAAAAATTATTTACCTTTTAATTTATGCATAATAATAAACTCTACATATATAATTTGATGCTTATTTTCAACACGTAAAAGGTGATAAATAAAATAAATTATTTATTCTTTTACCATGTAAAAAATATAGATCATAAAAAGATAATGCTAATTGAAATAACTTTTAACATTCAGAATTGAAAAACAATTAAACTTGATTCTTATGAACTCATGATCCTAAAGTCTTTCATCTTAAAATTAGCTAACAATAAGACCTAGTTCTTATAGGCTTATGCTCCTAAAATCATTCACCTTAAAATTAATTATTTATTAAAACTAAAATTTATTAAATAAGTTTAGGGTCGAACCTAGAAATCTATTTTTAATTTTTAAAAAATATGTTTGTCATTGTAATGTTATATATTTATTATCTAAAATATAAATTATAATGTTTTAAAATCTAAAATAAGTAATATAAATTATTATTTTAAAAGTAAAAAATTCTTATTCTAATGTCATTCAAATCCAAGTATGTTTTCATATTATATGCTTCCTGTTAAAAAATATAAGGTATTTTTAATCGAATCTTACCTTTTAATAAAGTAGTTATTTATTTTTAAACTAACATTATCTTTTTATATGTACTTCTTTTTAATAAGATATTTCACTCTAAAATATAAAGGGGTTCATTCATTAGAGATACTTTTTAAAAGAAAAATAATAATTATATCTTAAACTGTTAAAAATATCTTATATTTTTAAATATTTAATTCTTTAAAAAAAATATTTTATATTTTTTTAATAAAGAGGGCAACTGAGTTAATATCCCGTGTATGAAGTAAAAAAATCTAGTTGACTACTTATGGAAGAAGCATCAACTTTCCCATTTTCAAAAGTGAATGGTCATTTTTCCATTATTTTGAAGTTTTTCAGTACCTGAGGGAAGGGAAGCCAGCACCAAGAGCATGATTGTACTGCTAAGCCATCGCCTTCAACGCGTCGTAGCCTCTGGTCTCCAAGTAAGCTTCATTCTGTGAAACATCTGTTCTGTAATTTTACTCATCCGGCGAAGCCACGACGTACGTCATGGCAAAATTAGCTCCTGAACAAGAAGGAGAGAGTGATAGGATTAGCAGCTTGCCAGACCCTCTGCTTCACCACATCCTCTCTTTTCTTCCCATAAAAGAAGCCATAGCCACGAGCTTGATCTTGTCCAAGAGGTGGACTCCGCTAGGGCTAGCAATGCCCGCTCTTGATATTCATGACACTGACTTTGCTACTTGCAAGTCTTTCATTCAGTTTGTAGATGCAGTCTTGTTCTTGTCGGATTCGAAACCCATAAACATGTTTCGTCTCAAGTTTCAGAGATTCCAAGTGCCTCCTGTCAGGATTAATCTGTGGATTAACTCACTGATAAATCATAAAGTTGAGCATCTCGAGCTAGATTTTTATGGTCACATTCATGTACCTTCTCGCATTTTCCACAGCAGTACCATTAAGGTTTTGAAGTTGGTTAAGGTTAAGCTGAATGCTCGATCTGTTAATTTGCCTTCACTCAAAGTATTGTATCTGGTGAGAGTTCAGTTTTCAAATGCTGAAACTGTGGCTAATATCCTTAATGGATGTGCTCTTCTTGAAGTCCTGGTATTAAAATCATGGTCTGCTCCTTCTGAAGATTTCAACCGCCCCAGGATTGGAAGGCTTGAACATTTGGTGGTGGCACAAGTTCAACCATCTTGGATTCCGTTGGCAGCTTTTAGTGATGTCAGCCTTCTTCGGATTGAGGTACTGATAATGATTTTTATAGTAATAATTTTTTTAAAAAAATTAATTATTTAACTCTTATAATTTTAATTCGATTCTAATCTCATCATTATAAAATTTTAATTTTTATAATTTTTTGCAAGGATTAAAAGCTTTAGAAATTTAAAATATTAATGTCTAAATTTTAAAATAATTTTAATATTTATAATTTTATTTTTTTAAAATATAGAGACCATTAACAATGGGTCAAATCAAGATTGAGAATTAAATGATTAATTTTTCCTAATTTTTCATTGTCAAATTTGATATCAAAAAATCAAGTTATGATTTTGGTTTTCCTAATGCAGAAAGGGTATACACTATCTACGTCCTTTTTTCCAACATTTTATAATTTAACTCGCCTGGACTTCCCATGTTTGACGGATGATGTGACCAACCTTGTGAGATGCCTTCAAAATTGCCCAAAACTTGAAATTCTTACTATTCTCAAGGTTTGTATATTTTAACTTAAATTTGTGCTGACAGTACTTCAGTTAGTTTTTTAACTGATACGTGTATTTTCGTTTCAATAGTTGGATCCTATTTTGGAGGGAAGTTCGGTGGAGTCAATGCTTGATGTTCCTCAATGTCTTGCAACGCATCTTAAGGAATTTCGTCTGAGTGAATATAGAGGGTTGGAATGTGAGTTTAAACTTGCAATATTTATTCTGAAGAATGCAAGTGCTTTAACAAACATCTTCATTTGCAGTTCTACAATGGAAAATGCAGATTCGAAACTCCAAATGCTCATAAGATTATCATCATGTCCTAGAGCTTCTGTGAATTGCAAGCTGATGTTTAGTTAAATTTCTGAAATGTAAAATGCTTTTGCTGGTCATGTTTTTTTCTTTATTTTATTTTGGGTGATTTCCCTTTTCATTATATCTTGGACAACATTTTATTACACTCCATGGAGCTTGTTTTAGTTGTGTTTATGCTAGATGTAAGAAGATCAACTTTACCTATGCGCAGTGCAGCTTTTTGACGTTTGTTTAACTCATGATATGCTTCTTCTTGTCCAAATTAGAAGACTTTTTTCTTTTTTAAACTAAACTTGTTCAAAATATAAGATATTTATTACTTTTTGATTTTTTTTACAAATTTATCCTTGTATTAATTAATATGGGTATGAAAAATTTAATCTCTCACTTTTCATAATAATGATGAGAGCATGAGACTAGAATTGGATTTAGTAGTGAAGCGGCTTCTAACTTTACCATTGGTTAGATTATTGAAACTAATTATAAATTGTAAATGAATGGCTAGATTATAGACTTTTACAGTGTCTTTGGTTATTGGGAGATGCTTTCCTCCACTTATTTTGATCCCCTACAAATTGAGGTTTTGTTATTGGGGAGCCAAATTTTGTGAACTAATTTACCCTCATGCATTTTGTTATATTCCATTATTGTCCATATATGAAAACAAAAGAACCCAATTGATCTTCACTCTGCAAACTCTCATCTGTGCTTGTTGTCACTCTTCAAACTACTTTACCATTGTTTTTGTCAAGCATTCTTTGATGAGTTTTCCGTTGCTCTTCTTGTTGGCCTTATTTGGTGAGGGCCCAGGATCCACTTTCTTTCATTGAAAAAAATGATCACCCCACTTCAAACCCAAATATTATTATGCAAGTAGAAGATGATTGTATAGAGTTCTTTTTCTCTTTATAGAGATTTTAAGGAATAAACTCTAACAAAGTTGTCAAAGTATGATGATGATGTTACATCAACATAGGAATTAAAGGAATGTACTTAGTATGTGTGTTTGATTTTTAATTTGTCAAAAGTTCTTCTGTTGAAAATTTATTTGGTAAAAGTTAATTTAATGAAAGTTTGTTGTTATAATGAAATTTATATTTGGATACATTTTTTAAAAAATTAGTTTGGTAAATTGAAAGTTATTTGAATTAATTATGATTTATATTTTTGAAATGTGCTTTTCAATATATAATGACAAAAAAGGACATTGATTTATGATAATTTGTAATTTTTATTATACAAAATAATATATAAGAAAAGTTTAAAAAATGAGAGAAAATTTAAAATAACATAAATTTAATATTTTAAATAATAAAAATATAAATATAAAGTTTAATATGTTGGAAAAAAATTATGTAATAAATAGTTCAATATTTATTAATATTGAATAGTTACATAATTAACTGTTAGATCTATAATATATAATCTGATCTCTAATTGAATTGTGAACCCTATTCATCTCTCTATTAGAAGTTACACTTGAAATTGTACTTGAAATTGATGATGGAAATACACACTCATTAATATCATCATAAGAAGATGATAAAATTATGACAGGTAACATGGTAAAATATAAAATTAGGTGCAAATCATTAATATCCCAATATTCTCATTCACGTTTGAAAAATCAAGAAGTTGAACGTTTAAAAATTCACACGTCACACCCCAAACTTTTGAAGTATGATCAGCTGAAATATAAAAAAACTCATATTCCATAAGCCTAAACTCTTATCTCATCTATTGTATTAATTACAATTCTATCATACAATCATCATTTATATTAATCAATTGTTAATAGGAACAAATTATTTAAACTTGCTGCACGAGATCGGGGGGCACTTTGATAGTTTCCTCATAATAAAAACAAATAAAACTAACCTTAAAATTAAGTAAATTTCAAACTTAGACTTTTAATAAGCTACTAGCTTAAGTTGTATTAGGCCACCACTCTTCATTTACCACAACACTAAAATAATTAAATAAAATATCAATTAGGAGAAAAATTTATTTAATTATTTAATTTAAAATTTAGGGTTATTACACCACATTTGAAATCCCTTAAAAAGTACATTTGCAAAGTTCATTTGCTCTCTCAAATTGCACCCAAATAACTTTTCACATTCTAAAAATGAGAAAGTCTTTGTGGGATGTAAAAAGTGACCCAAACATATCCTTAAACTACTCAAATTTAAATCTAAATGCTTTTAAAGTACATCATTGACTTCAATACCAATGTGCCTTTCTTCTCCCAAGTCATTTTCAAGAACTTGGGATTCATGAAGATCTGACAAAATAGTCAGAGCTTTTAAATTTAAAAGTCAATCTATCAGTAAAAAAAAATGAAACCAAATTGAGGAAAATAAAAAACTAGAATAATATTAATTGATGTGATGTGAACGTACAGTTGACGCTCACCAAAACAAGGAGCTAAATTTAAAGGCATACTACTTTAACTCCAAATATGATTTCTACATTTGGTGATTCTATTCATTTCTTCCTTCTGAACTCTAAGGGACGAACTTTATCAATGGTCAATGCTGAGGGTGTCACCAAAGTACTACAAAGCATGTAAAGACTTCAAATTAATAAAATTTTTGTAAAATTGAACGGACATTAATAGGACATATCCTAGAAAATAAATATGCTATCTTCTTTCTGATTGACATTCACTGTGAATCGATCAGGAACATGTTCAATTCCCACAAGGTAGAATATGTATCACAAGGCATCACTAACAGATCATCAGGAATAATGAAACATGCGGTTTCACGAAGATAGCCAGTGAAGATTTGAGAGCTACTTGTCGTCAAAGTCATACACTAGATCATTTCCATACTACTTTTCCATTGGGTTCATTGGATTGAGCACAGTCCTTTATAACTATCTGAATTAAAACACTTGGAATCCAGATTTTCTACATTTGAAGTAGCGAGGTTATGCAGTTAATTTTGCAAGCCACAGAAGAGTCCTTGCTCATGAGAAGTTGAGAAACATTTCCCAAGGGCAACGTAAAGATGCTTAATAGAACATCAACCAAATCCTTCCCAGCTTCAGCATACAGTGCTCTATTTTTCTTCTTGACTAAGATCGGAGTCACAGAATTCTGCTTCTGAATCTGATTTTCGGATGAAGCCATTATCATGAAGAGACAAAAGTCCAAAACACTAGTAGATGGATGATTTTCTGAGTTCAATGGATGGATGCTATAGATCATTTTACATGTAGAGGGTAAAACTGAAAAGATGATGCAGCCCCCAATATGATGATTAATAACGACCTTTGGATCTCTTAAAAATAGTATAGCACCAAGGCGTTGTGCCTCCTCATTTGCTGTTAAACTTATGGCTTTCTACTTGAAAAACTGGATTTCATGGCTACTATGCGATGGATTAATTTAGAAAGAGAGAGGGAGGCAGAGAGGATAAGTGGTGAGGATGATGCAATTATGAAACCCATAATCAATGAGTGCCTTTTGATCTGTGAAAGTTTTATTACCAAGGCCTTGCACCTCGTTTGTTTTCAAACTTTCATCAACTAGTAATTAATTAAATACCAAACTCAACACCTTGAGAAGTGAGAAGTTGTGCATTGGTGATCTAATTTCATTCAGAATCAAACATAGACAGACAATCCAAGGAGATGAATGCAAAACTTTTAACCCCAAAAGCATCGAATTCGAATCAGATAAAATGGATGATAATGACAATTAATGACAATAGTGATCAACATCCTTCTCAGAAACCATGAAAATGCTGCTTGTACTAGCTGAAGTTAATAGATTAACTTTTTAAAGTTACAATCTGATATTCTTAACTATAGTATTACCAGAATTACAAGAATGTTTAACACCCTTGTAATATCATGCTAACCCACAACTCGTTCAAAGACTAAAAGAATCTCTCCACAAAACTTGAAACACAGCTCCCTCTTAGCTAGACAGTGTTCAAGGTGATTTTGGATATAATCTCTGCTTTAATTCTGCTATTTCTAAGTCCATGAAGGAGAACATGCTTACGGTATAACTTCTTGAAGGTTAAGCTTGTCGGAGGAATTATATTTCATTATGGCAATCAAAAGTTCATAACAACAAAAATGTAAGAAAATTAATAGAATGCACAATAAATCAACGTAAATTATAAAGTTATAGTAGCTGTAATTATGTACAAATTAGAAATACTGCGGTCCATTTTTCAATATTTGTGTCATAAAAAAGTGTGCCCAGTGATATACCATTACTGCTCATCTTCTTGTTCCTTTGATGAAGATTAGAGCGAGACCTCAGGGTGTACTCTGCAACAAGCTGAGCAAAAGATGAGGACTTGTTCTGCAGCAGTCTTTCTGGAGTGTCATGTCATACTCTTCAATTACTCCTGTGTATTGGCCCAATGAAATACCATAAAATCATATTGTGATGAACAATACAAATTTGGAAAACAATTTACAACAATATATAGCAGAACAGAAATCCGTGGGAGAAGAAAACATAGAAGAGCAAATCAATCACCTCCCCTGAAGTTTTGAAATCTATATTCAATATATGCTTGTTGTTCAGAAACATCCACTAACTTCCTTCAGTTGAAGCCTGTATAAGTAATGATTGACCATTGGGTGATTTGTCATTCATTCTATCAGGTTAAAGTGTGTCTAGGAGAAAAGCTCATGTAGATTTTACTAACAAAGTAAGATCTGTTGTTAAATTCACTAACAGGAACAAGGCTTTGGACAAACTAAAATTGAAAGGAGTGAGTTTAGATTTTATCTCAAGGTAGATAAACATTGAGATGAAGTGTAAGTAAAGCGTATGGCTATCGCCTTCGTATCGCCTGATTATTCCTCAACTCGCAAACAAGTTAAGCCGCCGGTGCACCATTTCTTCCCCTTCTTCCTTTGTCCGTTGCACTGCCGCGCCAGCCACTGTCGAACATCTTTTTTCCCTTTGGATTTTCAAAACTTATTTTCCAGGGGCATTTTGGTCAACGTAAAGAATAATAATAAAAACACAAAGGGCCCCCATTTTTCAAACTCTCAACACCTTTAGCCATTAATTTGCCC